TGTGATACAGAATTTCAAAAAACGTATACAAAACTTATTTATAATAATGAAAAAATGTATGCAAATTTTTTATAGGGAAGGAGGTAACATACCAATTGATTTTGAAGAATGGGTGATATTTGTTGACTACATATAAGGATAATATTTGTTGAAGGTGCTTGTGCCGGAAGATCTCCTTTACAATTTGTCTTATCGGGATAAGAATTAGTTAGTTATTGTAGTTAGCGAAGCTCTGTGGAGCAGTCATCAAGTTAAGATGCAAGATGGGAAGAGTAAGAGCATCTTTTGCCATAGCGTCTACCTTGTTATTCAAGAGATTATTTGAGTGCACTTTGACTTTTATTAAATAGACATCCAAGTTGTGCTCAGAGATCACTTCAAAAAGACAAGATCAAAGCACAAAGTTGTTGATTTTCAGAAAAGGTCTGAAGGTAGGAGACTGCTTTTTAAGGAAACTGAATTTGTTGAACTGTGATATGATAACAGCTGAGTCAGTATAGACTCTGACTTTGCAATTTGGAGGGCAGTCATGAGTGCGGTGAAAAGAGCTGCAGATTTAGGTATTGATGATGATGGAAAACTGGAGGCCAAAACGGTACTAAAGGAAGCCATAGGCGAATTTTGGTGAGATTGTAACCAAGCAAACCCCATTTTGATTGAAGGAAGACCGGCGTCTTTAAGAGACCCGTCGGTATAAAATTTTAACTCAGTAGCAGAAACAAAAGTAGAGGAAAGTGTTAGTAGTTCTTCTTTGAAGAGAGAAAGAATAAATCTATCTATACAAGAATTATGTGCAGGAGGAGGAACAGAGGGTAGTACATTTAAAATTTAGGGCTGGTGGGACGCGATTGCACAAGTTAAAGCTAATTCATTGAGAGCACCAACGGATAGCGCTGTAGAACTAGAACTGTTATAATAAATATTATGAAAAGCTGCACAGTAAGCACGAGGAATACTGACACGGCAGTATGAACTATTTGTTGGAAGTACATTATGATTGTGCAGGGAACATCGGAGATATGGGATCAATTTAGTACTATGATTGTTGTTTTTTCAAAATTGTAATATCTGAGATACAAAGAATCTTAGTCAACATAGGTGATGCGTCCAATGATAAAACTGTTGAGATTGAATATCCAGCCCACTGCATATGACCTATAACCAAGGGTAAGATGTTGTTGCTTCAGTATGTAACCATACATTAAATTGTGCGAGAAAGATCTGCTGATGAATTTGTCTGGTGATGGTTGTAGGTACTGTTCCATGATGGTAAACCATTTGGGAGTTCTGACAAACCTCGTTTGTTAGTACGTAATATAGATAAGGTCTTTGTAGAAGAATATGTAGTTACCAACATAATTGACTAGTTGTTTAGCATAGAGAACTGCACATTTTCTGAGATCCAGGATGTGATTCCTATAGATAGGCGTAATGAGATCTGAAATTGGGGTGGTGCCTCTGGATACCAGATTGGTCGAGCTTAACGGAATGTTTAGATTGATATTCAGTTTGTTGAGGGTACTGAGTAGGGCTGGGAGCCAGTCATCTTTAGACCTCTGGATATTGTATGGCTAACGTACTAAAGGATTGATGTGTAACCATTCCTTGGTTTGCAATAGTCTGACACTAATTTTGAATGTGAGGCCTAACAAGTTAGGTTCATTAGCCATCAGCAGCAAAGCACTGCTAAGATTCTGTATAAGTCTTTGGTAGAGAGGGGTAATGTTGTAAAAATAGTGTGACAGGAAAAGCGAAGATGGCGTTTTCCGCAAAAAGTGCAATTTGAAACGGAGGAAAGCTACATATAACGCCATGATACTATCACAATGTTTTTCCGAAGGGAGTGTAAGTTGTAACTTGTATTCAATGCGTAGGATAATAACCGTATTAAATATGTACGTGAGTTGAGTGTCCGTTAATCTTTTGGTTCGCATTATGGTGATTGCAGATTTGATTTCTTTATGGATCTGGTTGGTGATGAATGTTCTGTTGTCTGCCAGCGAGATCTAGACTCCAAGGTACCTAACACTTTCACTGGGTTTATGTGCGGTGATATGATGGATGATGTTAGGATTGTCAATGGCGAAAGGCTCCGACTGAGTCTTATTTACTAAGAGTTCTAACTTGGACTAATTAACCTGAATGTCGTTGAAGGAATAGAAACTGTTAGCAATTCTGATAATTGATGACAGATCGTCAGCAGATTTGGCAATCCATAGAGTATCATCCATGAATGCTAATGCTGGAATTGTTGCGGAAAGGTATTGCGTAGCAGGTAAATGAACGTCAGGTTGCCAATTGCAACTCATTTTATATCCGTAAGGTGACTCCTGAATTCTACAGAGTAATGGGTCATAGTAAATACACCACAGAAGAGGTGAAATGACTTCTCCTTGATCGATGCCAGAAAGGACAATGTAGGAATCGGTATTGCCATGAGCAGTGAAAATTCTGTTGAGTCTAGAAATAAATAGTTTCATAATGATATTGATGAGGCTGAAGGGTATTCGTAGCCTTTCCATAACTTTGACCAATGTAAAGACGTTGACGCGGTCATATGCTTTAGAACAATCTTGTAGGAGGACCCAGAGCTCAGATTTATTTGTGATGGCGTCGTGTTTTATATTGTCTATAATATGAATGGGATCAAAAGTGGATTTAAAGGGCAGTCCAGCAAAGTTTGATCTTTTTAAGATGTTGTGTTGTATAAAAACTGATGCCAATCTGGTATTAAGTAGTTTTACAAAAGCTTTTCTAGGAGTGTGATTGGTCGTGTGTTATTAAGGTCAAATTCCCAAGGTTTAGGTTTAGGAATCGGATAAACATAGGCAAAATTCCATCTTGTGGGAACTGAAGAAATTTGGAGGCAATCACAAATAATTAACCAAAAGTATTTCCTACTATGTGGACCCAAATGTTTAAGCATTTCATTAGATATAGAAGAAGAGCCTGTAGCTTTGTCATTGGGCAGACAGTTTAAAATCCTATACCATTCGTCGGCTGATGGGAGTGAGGTAAGCTGGTCATATATTGATGGATTAATACCAGCAATTG